TCGACTGGCCACGGCCGTCTGATGCGCGGCCGCCGCCACCACCGACGCCAGCGCCAACACGAACAGCAGATTGAAGACAAATGTCACTGTTGGACGGGCCAGGTGTTAACATAGGTCATACGTACATTTTGGGCGGCGCCAGTTTTCCTTTCGTGACGTCAAGGCCGGGATCAAGCCGTTCCGAGAAATTGAATATTTCATGATATTTTGTGTTGCCAGTGGCATCACCAGTGATGTCACTGGTACCATGAGATGCCTATATATGACGTCACCATGCTAAACCTAGAACAATTTAACCTTGATTCGACCTTGACATTGACCTTGATTTACATCACGGTCCCAGAGTGCAAACACAATGGTTAGATGTAGTACCAGTCGCAGTGTCACGTGGCCCTAAACCTTTGTGATAACAGATTTCATAGGGTCCTTATGTCGTTCCGAGATTCTGTTTTAACAAATGGGCGTCACCTGTGATGTCACCATCTTGCGTTGTCAAGCAAGGATTGGCGTAAGTCAAGGTCAAGGTCAGATCGATATTAATGTTATTTTAGTCCAAGATGCGTGATGTTGCCAGTTTTTTACACAAATATAGTCACATATTACCTAGTACCTTGCAAATCACCAAGAGCTGGGAATAACATAAAGGTTATCTGCCAGTGAAATGAAAGATTGCATTTCACTGGAACCGGCATAAAACAAAATGTTCTCATATGTACTCGATCGTACCTCGAAGTGAAGCGGCACAGCATACCTCGATCAGTATACAGATCAGCATATAGATCATACCTCGAAGCGACACAGAATGTGCCAGAAAGACCAGGCATGTGCCGTGCTTAATCTCTAAGGCTGTAGTGCATTGTTTGATGTATTTCAGCATACATTTGTTACATGTGACCCCTAAAAATATCGGCCTGCCGCGGGCGGTCTTCGGGATGGTCGGCTGCCGTCCGCCGCCCGCGCCGGCAACGTTCCTGAAACACAACCGCTGCTCCGAAATCAGAAACGCTAGGGCACGTTTTTGTGTCAAAACACGCGTAACTGATGCTCCGTAGCCTACAACATACCGGAGAGGTATCTTCAGGGAACCTCTGAGGTGGCGGTGGGGGTTACATCGCCATCTTCATCAGGGCGAGGCGTAAGTTGCCAGGTAATCCAAATTTGGGTGACGTATTCGGCACTGTTCGGGAATATTATCGTAACTAGGAGGGGAGCAGGCTTCACATTCCCCGAAGGCCCACGCCTCAAATGACTTGCGCTCCAGAAGGCCAGCGTCTCAAATGACTTGCGCTCCAGAAGGCCCGCGTCTCAAAGACTTGCGCTCCACGCGGAGTCTGACTGCGAGTGAGGCCGCAGTAAGAACAAACCTCGCTTGAACTGTGACACAGCTGTGAGCCCAAGCGGCTTACCAGGATGTTAGACTGGATGGATGCTGTTATTTCTAGAACCACTGAGTGGCTCCATGCAGTTGTTGGAAACAAGGGGAGCGACTATTTAGAAGCTAAGATGGGTAAGGTAAAAGGCGGAGGCATGCAAGCTGTTTGATCAAAAGTGATTATTCTGCAACATTGCAATGTGAACAAAACAAGCCGTCTCCATTCGATCAACATGAAGGAAGAAAATATGCTATTATCCAAAACCTGTGTAACATTTGTGAAAATTTGACCAGGGTCTCGACGACCCGACCTCTCAACGACGCAAAACAAACGCCTCTTAACGGGGTGCAAACGGAAAATCGTCAAGGTGAATACATGTGTTGATGTGTGCAAGGATCGCGCACGCTAGAACTCAAACCGTGGACCCTCCCATCTCATGGGAGGATCCACGGGTCATGTTAAAGGATCCCGACAGCGAAGATGGATCGAAACGCGAGACCAACGGAGTGGTGTAAAGCAATGTACCGTTTACTAATGGAACAGTAACCGCCCAATACCATTGTTTTTTTCGGATCAGGTCTCAAATGCAACCATTAACCGAGAGCAACTGAACCGTTAGAGCCCAAAGAGCGATGACCAATGGAAGCTTATCCATATCATGTACCGAAAATGACAGGCCAGCTAATGTTAAAGCCGACAAACTTTCAACTGGTAAAATTTGGGGATTGGTGCGCCAAGTGGTCTTCAATGATTCCATAACTGCTGAAGTCCCATGAATAACCAGATTTTTCAGGATATTTAACAAACTAATGTGAACTGGCTCCCAGCGGCGTGTCGTTCTACCAGCTCAGGTCTTGCTACCATCTGCACGACCGCTCCAATTTTGGCGTCTGCTCTCACTTTGTTCATCTCAAGGCGTGCTGAGATCTCGCTGGCATTATCTCCTAGAATTCCTTATGGTTCAGAGAATATACCGAAAACCCTGGGACACCAGCTGCGCCTATGATTTTGCTAGGATTTGTTGCGTTGGATCCAATGACGATGATCCCCAGACAGAAACATTTCTTAATTTTTTTTCTTACTTAAGTTTTCACGAGCTTCGTGCTAGTAAATCTAAACCTGGGCGATGTCTTCTTGTGTAACGAGTTCCTTCTGTCAAATTTTTACACAATCTGATCAGCTGCATTTACTAACAACATTTCAACCATTACCGGCATGTACGAAGGCAGGCGCATCAGCAGCGATAACAAAAAAGGTGGCGGAAACATCCCGTAATGTGACGATTTAATGAGTATAACACTGAGAGAGGACTAAATAGTCTGGCAGACATGTCCAGTGGATCTAGAGAGGTGAGAACTCATGTAAACAAAAAGATGGATAACTTATTTACCTTTCTCCAGCTAGGATGGGCCATTAAACAACATGTGACGGACATCTAACCGTTCATACTGTTTACATGTGTGCGTTGTAAGCAGCGCGTCATATGACATGTGAGATGGCCGTCGTTAGCTGCATACTCTTTACCGAAGACGGTCAAACTTCGGCAAGTACCCGCTAATGGTGGTCGCATCTGTGCGTGCGCTTAATGGCCGTCATAAATCATGCACCGACTGTAGACTGGCAGCCTGACACGAATCACGCCCGCCGTCGCAGCTGCGGCCGGGCTGACACAAATATGGCCCGTGCGCGGCGGACTGACGACATCAAACATGCACGCCACGGCCGGGTCCGACGTCTGTCACCGGTCCAACCGAGCGCGCCTTGGGCAGCGCTGGCAGCACGGCGCAGGTCGATGGTGATCCCTTAGTTAGTTGTGCGACTTCATTGATCAGGGGCCTGAGCAGCACCTCAGCAGTTTATGCAAAGTTTCTTGGCCCGTCCATCACGACGAATGACTAGGTCTGGCCAGTGGAAAGTGGCAGCTGCATTTTGATTTTTAGCGTCGGAAATGAAGCCACGTTAGTGTACCCGAAAGAAGGAACGAATAGATTACGTGTAAAAACTGAAACTTAATATACTGCTGAGATCTTTTATGCGAGCTGGGAAACACCTGCACGAATTACTTCATCCGTGCAGTGACCTGCGGCAACGTTGTTGATAATCGAGGTTGTAACTCCTGTATGAACTACAGCAAAGTCGGTACATTGGCGCTATTTGGTTTCTCGCAGACAAACATTCGACTGGTGTGTACTGTATATTGCACTGCATCATGCTGCAATGTGCAGCCAACACAGAAAATCCCAGTGTTGTGTTTTTGAGCCTATAGACAATTGTAAACATCCCTATCTGCTTGTTGGCACGCTATTGATCGTAAACGTTTGCAAAACTATAATCAAGGGCCCAGCGAGATTGATTATGGCTGGAACAGGCCGTGTCCTCCGTCCGGAACTCACCAACAAAGTAGGGGTCGCCGCTGACCGTGTACGTGTTGCCCTGCGCCGACGTGACGAGGAAGGCCTTCTGAGCGTGCGGCTCGTGGCCGGTGGGCGCGGCGGCGAGCGCGCCCGCTCCGGCCGCCGCTAGGCAGAGCAGACCGTGCGGCACCGGCGGCAGCATCGTCTCCCGCGTCTGCGGGCGTCCGCTGCTCGCGAGCGGTCCTCCGCCGGCCGCCCGACCGACCGACCGCCAACCAGCCAGAACACTAACCGGGACAACGGGCTGACGCCGTGCCTATGTATATCAGAGGCACGCGCAAAAAGCGCCGCCGGCCGCTCGGCGGCTCGCAGTGCGCAGCTGTCGCCTGTGGTGATTTCATGACCGTTCTCGCCCACGTGGGCCGCCTACTTCGGCGCGGCTCGGGCAGATGGTCGGACGCGGCGTCGGCCGTGGATCGTCTTCGGAGACGCGCGCCCTGCTCGTCGCCACCGATTGGGTGTCGGCGTCGGGCACTGGGCCACGGTGGTGGGCGCGGTCGGCGCCCGGCCGCCAGCTGGTCTGCCCGACTCGGCCAGAGGCGGCGGCATCTTCAGCGCGGAGTGCCCGCTGTCCGACTGGGATAAGCTCCATGCCCGCTTTGATGAAAGCAAGTGCCAGGTAGCCGACAAAGCATCTACTGTCTAAATTTATTGCCGCATGTTTTGTGTTCCTTGGATTGAAATGTCTTCATACATGACACACTGTACGTTGTAGCTTTGACGTAGTGTTGTAGCTTTAAAGACATTCTCCAGGATGGCGGAGGATGATGAATGTACAAAAGTACAAAAAATGATTTGATGTGACAGAATGTGGCCTTGGTTAGCTTTGATAAGCAATGCAATAATTTGCATGATGGGTATTCAGGCGACCAATCAATTATTTCGGTTGCGCCCTCTGAACTCGTACTTGTCAAACCCAACAACTTAGCTCAGGACACTGTTAAAGGTGTAGGATCATTTTCATCATGAGCGGTTAGTGGCTGACATGACAGCAGCCAGGCAACGACGCAGTTTTTCATGCTGCTACAAAGGAGATCGCCAAACGATGCAGCAGGTAAACCTGCGATGTAATGATGCTCCTTAAGCTCCTACATAACTTTCGGCTATTGTTGATACATTCATTTGAGAAAAAACCTGGAGACCCTGGAGCCTTCGTAATGCCAGCACGAGCTGCCTGCATGGCGCATTTCTGGCTTATTGTTAACACCACTCATATGTAGATCTGTTATACATTTATTTTCATGCATGAATAGTTCGAAGTATGGTTTGCAACTTGTTGTCTTTTCGCGGGGCACTGTTTTAAAACTGCGCCTTCTGAAGCCAATGCATGCCCGCCCCCCCCAAAAAAAAATGTTGAGTGCCGTGCAAAGTGCAATGCACATTCGTTTTGTTCAAATATTTCTGGAGATATTATCCTCATAGGGGAGTAAAATAATAAACGAATGACAGCTTAACACAGAACACACCTTACGCACTTCGTCACCGTCATCACAGTTTGGGGATTTAAGCGTTTGTTTAGCGCCCAAAACCGTTTGCATCACTGCAAGCATGTTTGGGTGCGATACAGTGGCACAGGCAAAACCCTGAAACTTCCACAAAACCAGTCGAGCCAATAAATAGTCGTGACATTGTCACAAATCACGTGACACTCTCCAACTGGTGAACTTAGGCGCGCAGCTGCGCCACGTAGGCGATCATATCCTTGTAGCTGGCTTCGCACGTGTGGAACAGCTGCTCGCAGGCGTCCGGACCGAACTTGGAGCCCATGAAGGCGGCGTAGTCGTAGGCGCCGCGCGTGCTCTTCATCTTGTCAATGCTGGGAGCCTCCGGGTCCCGGCTGCGGACAGCGTTGCCACAGTCAGACAGAGCCCGCCGAAGGGCCGGAGTTACATGTCACATTGCGGATATACGCGACCGGAGGAGCGGAAAGCCAAGGCCAGATGGGAAGTGGTGAAACAGGGATGACCTGTGGACTGTAAATTTCACCCTGTCTGGGTCATCAAACGTGATTCTATTTAAACCGAGCTTGCTTCGTGTTCTCAGGATTTGCCCGTTCTGTGAGATTCCTTCTTTTCCCATTTGTGTCCATGAGAACAACCACATAATTCATTTGCTTTGTGATGTTTTACTCGGTCACCAAAAACACCGCCATGGGATAACCGCTGCAGATTAACTGCAGAGCTGCAAGCAACTGACATCTTTGAAATACCACGGCATTCAGAGCATACCCACCCGAAGATGTTAAGGATGAAGGAGTCGTCGTCGGTGAGGTCAGCCTCCGCCTTGGCCTCCAGCAGGCACACCAGCTTGAGGGCGCAGCCGAATGCGTCGGAGGCCGACACGAGGGAGAACACGGCCTCCTCCTTGACGCCGTCCTCAACGGAGCGCTTTCCGCGGCGCGAGGCGAGCACGGCGATACCGAGGATGCCGGCGCCGAGCACGAGGCCTCCGATGCCGGCCAGAGCGGCGGCGTTGGCAGCCGTGGCCGCCGTCACTGTGGTGGTGCCGGCCGCAGCTGTCGTGCCCAGCACGATGATGGCCTCGGCGTAGGTGGCGATGCCGGCAACGGCAAGCAGGGCCAAGCTGAACTTCATGGCTGCTGCGGGTGGAGGAGGCAGCTAAGTGTGGGTGCGAGTGGAGTAGAAAATGGGCCCTGTTGAGAGCTGAAGAGATAAGGTTACATGTTTGCGAATTCCAATGGCTTAATCAGCGCGACTAATTATTAGCGAGCGGGACGTGTCCGCAAACATCAATACTTTAATATACTTCGCAAACGCTTTAGAGCGCTAAGGCATAATCTAAGTTAGTTTTCATATGCGGACCACTTATATTGGCATCAAACGTCACACACTATGGCAAATCCACGACCGAGAAGCCGAATCTCTCCTATATTTACACTCCGACTTACCTGAGTTTGGTGTGTTCTCCTCGTGCGATGAGACGCTCCGCTGTACTGTACTGTGGCGGGAAGGAGGCAGACTTTTATCGCCAGTCATGTGCGCGCCCAAGGCCCTCGGTCAATCATCGTTCCCAGCGCCCCTCCCTCCCCCCACCCAGCTGATCCCATGCAGCCAAACTGGGACACCACCTGACTCAAGGTCACCAGCGCGTCCTTCGGAACTCACCGGACGCCATAGCGATGGCTGTTCTCGCCACGAGCTGGTGCCGAAACATAGCGACCGGGTGCCAGTGAGCGGTAATTATACATCGGCCGAGCTTTAACCGGCCACGTGCCAGAAGGGCCCGCGATCCGTGAACACCGCGACAGACATTGGGTAACTCAACTAAAGTGCGGCAATCCGTCAGGAGGACGGCTGATGGCTGCTTGACTTTCATCCGTCTCCGTCGGATGTAAGAGAAAGGACGTGCGAACATTGGGCCAACGGAGCTCAGACGGTTGTTGGTAGGCAAGGATTTTGATACAGTGCAAGACGCTTCTCCCATCCAGCTGGTTGACAGCCCCTTGCATGGCCGTGCGAGACGAACCTTCGCAGGGAGGACGCACTCGGCACTCGGGTGGCCTCGAGCCCTAAAGATATCGAGAGAGAGAGAGAGAGAGAGAGAGAGAGAGAGAGAGAGAGAGAGAGAGAAAGAGAGAGAGAGATATATATATATACATATATATATATATATATATACATATATATATATATATATATATATATATATATATATATATATATATATATATATATATCTCTCTCTCTCTCTCTCTCTCTCTCTCTCTCTCTCTCTCTCTCTCTCTCTATATATATATATATATATATATATACATATATATATATATATACACACACATATATATATATATATATATATATATATATATATATATATATATATATATATATATATATATCTCTCTCTCTCTCTCTCTCTCTCTCTCTCTCTCTCTCTCTCTCTCTCTCTCTCTCTCTCTCTCTCTCTCATCGTATATCGAGCGATATCACAAAAACATTAAAGCCCGCCGAAAATAGCTAAGTCTATAACTAAGCACGTGGGAGCCATGACACGTGACACATGTGGCCACCCATTGTCATCTTACCCGTTTCATTCATTATCAAGCGTGTCACTTTCGAGTGTGTCCGAGTTCTGGGTGCTAAGATGTGGCACAACACGTTTAACCTGTGGAAGAGAGCAAAGCCCATCTTTGAGCATGCGCTGCGCGGTACGTGAGACCGTAGCATTTCGCACGGTACAGCGTTTTGTGCCACTCCCAGGCCGTTCCAGCCCGACGTTGTCGAGATATTGGTTGGAGGTGGCATAATTGGTTGGTGGCAGTTAAATACGCCATCATGTCACGTGTGTATTACGTGTTGAGCTACCGAGAGACGGGGCGGCACGGTCCCGTCGCGGAGCAAAATAACCGTCATGCAACCCATTGCCCAAGGCTCATTTGTGAGCGAAATCTTGCAAAATATGATCAACAAAAGGGTGGCAAAGAGGCCAAATGAATTGGCAAACACGATGATGTAGTGTTCAGCACTGAATTATGAGCAGTTTTGACAGCAGAGGCCTGTATTCGGCGCCGACTTTTGAAACTGTGCCGCTTGCAGCTTGTCTTGAAATTTGCAGCGTAACCGTGCTTTGCACGAACTCGAAGTGCGCACTGAAATTGTGGCTGCTGCAGTTGTGGACATTAGGAAACAAAATTCATGTCTGTACTCGCACTTGGTGCCGAGATGTGACCCAAAACGTAAAAAAACGTCAAAAACGGATGATTTCATCTTTCCAATACGTGTGTGCGTGTCACGTGCGGCGTGGCACCACAAACTGACCACCATCTGATTACGCTGCGATTGCCTATCTAGCTGTGCGACTTTCGTATCGCTGCGACCCTTTATTATCATGAATGGCTTCAGGAGTGCCCCCGTGTCAGGCTGTCGGCCGGTGCTCGTGAAATTTGCGTCGCCAATGTTATCTCACTACGCGCTCATTTTCGCGAAATGATGAATTATTTTTGACATAGTCGTGGCCACCCTGCCAGCAGTCCTTGGTTGCAGAACATTTTCACTAGAAAATTTCTGCTATTTTAGCTTGCGCATGAACAAAGAATCGGTGGCGGACACACACACTGTTCATTTAGTATAATAGAAGATTGTTCAGTAACAATCATGCCTGATTATCGTCCCGATCGTCCACACCATCTGCTGCCGTCTATGTATCGCCATGATACGGAAAAGCAGTTGTATTTGACATACAGATCCTTTCGGAGGCTTCCTGATATTATGCTTAACTTTGTTGTCTGACACGACCCGCATACCATCACGATGTTTTCAAGCTTGCGCAACGAGTATAGCATCAACTATACCAAATTGTACGCAACGCCGCCGACGCCGCAAGCTAGGTTTGTATGTATGTGCTCCCGGGGAAGACATTCTGCTCCTCCGGTGAAATTTGGGTGTAAGCATTGTCAGAGGAGAAGTGACCTCAAAAGGCTTGCTCAAACTAGTGACTCGAACTATGGGGTTCGTTCGACGCCTCAACATGGGGTGAAGCCAAGGACAAACGCTAAGTTCCGCGGGGCACGGCAGGTCTCCTCTGTCATCTGTCAATTTGTTGTGGTAGTGATCAGCTGTTGGAGCCAGTTCTGATGATGGGAGTTAGGAGTAGGTTGATTAACTGCCCAACCGACGCCGTGGATTCCTGAGGCTGGGAGTGAAGTATTAGCTGGTGGCCATCGTTTTGAGCACTACTGTTAATGAGCCATTGTTTTTAGGAACGCCGCTTGCTTTTCGTTCACTATTTTTCTGTTATATATATATATATATATATATATATACTTATACAAATACAACTATGCCATACCATTTTATTTTGTTGGCGTAAAGAGCACACCGGCCGTCACAGATGGCGGCGGTGACGCGCCAACCATTTCCGTTGGCCCTAATGAGTTTTCGGCTGTAGCACAATTGACGGAGTCCGCGGGACGGACAGCAGCATGACAGCGGAACGGACAGGACTCCCGGCACGTCAGCAGGACGGACAGGACTCCCGGCACGTCAGCGGGACAGACAGGACTCCCAGCACGTCAGTGTGACGGACAGCACTTCCAGCACGTCAGCGGGACTGACAGCACTCCCGGCACGTCAACGGGACTGACAGCACCCCCGGCACGTCAGCGGGACTAACAGCACTCCCGGCACGTCAGCGGGACTGACAGAACTCCCGGCACGTCAGCGGGACTGACAGCACTCCCGGCACGTCAGCGGGACTGACAGAACTCCCGGCACGTCGGTGGGACTGACAGGACTCCGGGCACGTCAGCGAGACTGACAGCACCCCCGGCACGTCAGCGGGACAGACAGGACTCCCAGCACGTCAGTGTGACGGACAGCACTTCCAGCACGTCAGCGGGACTGACAGCACTCCCGGCACGTCAACGGGACTGACAGCACTCCCGGCACGTCAGCGGGACTAACAGCACTCCCGGCACGTCAGCAGGACGGACATGACTCCAGGCACGTCAGCGGGACAGACAGCACTTCCAGCACGTCAGCGGGACTAACAGCACTCCCGGCACGTCAGCGGGACGGACAGGACTCCCGGCACGTCAGCGGGACAGACAGGACTCCCGGCACGTCAGTGTGACGGACAGCACTTCCAGCACGTCAGCGGGACTGACAGCACTCCCGGCACGTCAACGGGACTGACGGCACTCCCGGCACGTCAGCGGGACTAACAGCACTCCCGGCACGTCAGCAGGACGGACAGGACTCCAGGCACGTCAGCGGGACAGACAGCACTTCCAGCACGTCAGCGGGACTAACAGCACTCCCGGCACGTCAGCGGGACGGACAGGACTCCCGGCACGTCAGCGGGACAGACAGGACTCCCGGCACGTCAGTGTGACGGACAGCACTTCCAGCACGTCAGCGGGACTGACAGCACTCCCGGCACGTCAACGGGACTGACGGCACTCCCGGCACGTCAGCGGGACTAACAGCACTCCCGGCACGTCAGCGGGACTGACAGAACTCCCGGCACGTCGGTGGGACTGACAGGACTCCGGGCACGTCAGCGGGACTGACAGCACCCCCGGCACGTCAGCAGGACTGACAACACTCCCGACACGTCAGCGGGACTGACAGCACTCCCGGCACGTCAGCGGGACTGACAGCACTCCCGGCACGTCAGCGGGACTGACAGCACTCCCGGCACGTCAGCGGGACTGACAGCACTCCCGGCACGTCGGCGGGACTGATAGCACTCACGGCACGTCAGCGGGACTGACAGCATTCCCGGCACGTCAGCGGGACTGACAGCACTCCCGGCACGTCAGCGGGACTGATAGCACTCCCGGCACGTCAGCGGGACTGATAGCACTCCCGGCACGTCAGCGGGACTGACAGCACTCCCGGCACGTCGGCACTTGCCGCAGTGGTTACGGCCCGACCGCCACGTTCAGCGGTGATGATGTTGCCCCACATTTTTACGGACATATCCATCACAGTCCGATGGTGGTAGCCCATTCCGTGACATCTAACACTGGTGACGAGCTAGCCGTCCCAGGGGGCGATAGTGACGGATGGACCAGCACATATAGTGATGTTCCTGAAAGCTGATACTTGATCGAAATGGCTTTTAACACCATCATTTATATTGTAAGTAGATAGCAACTTATCACGTAAATCTAAAACGGTGAATTGTTATCGGCACATGAAATTGATAAGCATGAGGGCGTAGCATGATTACCCTACGTTGGAATCGGTGCTGACATGCTTCTGGTTCGACCCAGAAAGTCCGTTTTCGAGAGGATACTAACATTTAGAATAAGGGTGAAAGGTCAGAAGAATCAAAGCATTGGTGTCAAACCGTGCACCTCTATTCATCACTAGCATGTGCTATTCTTATCATCTATGCGATTTAGAAACGAAAAGCTAATGTATTTTATCGCGTTTAACGTATCCCTCAAATCGCTAAGCATGAGAAGATCAATGTTGGGAGAAGG